ACGTTTGTTTTAATGAAAAAAACATATATGTGAGTATAAAAAATATATAAATAGATAAGATTAATATCAAAATCAATTTGAAAATACAACAGATAATAAAATGAAATAAATTAATACAAGTACAAATAGAAAGATAATAACATACCTTCTAAAAGTAACACATTTTAAGTAGATAAATGTTTAAAGAGTTTATTCCTGAACATAACTAATCTAACGTTTTTCCCCTTTTTAATATGAGGGTTTTTGTAGTTGAAGTGAAAATTATAATTTATTTTGGTCCTAATAAAAATTTAAACATAGGTTATCAAAGAGTAAAATTCATAATAGAACTTTATAATATTAAATCGTTATCAAAAATTATTAATGGTAAAACTTTAAACAATAATTAGATTCTTAAACAAATTTCTAGTTTTTTTTTTGCAAAAGATTTTTTTGCCTTCTTCGGTTGCCCTGCCACTTTTCTTTTAGTAGTTTCGAGGAGAATTTTTTTATTACTAAATTATTAATAATGTTATTTGGTGTAGTTCATTGTGATTTGTATAATATATATTATTAAAACCCATCGTCAATGTTAATGTGCCAAGTTTTTTTAATAATTATGTCCTTGTTATAGTAAAAACACATTTAAACACATTTTTAAAGTTTTCTGGATTTCTGCTTTAAATTATCGTACAATTGAACTGACTAATTGTGTGTTTCAGTAAAGGTATATCTCTTTTTTGTTATAACAGTCTTTGTATATTGTTCTAACTTTTTAGATAATCAGAGAAAACAGTAAGACATCTTAATATATCCTATTTCACCAACAAAAATGTAGAATAATTAATCTCACATCAAACGAAAAAAGTTATTTTAGGATGTCCTAATAAGTTTTAACTTAAAACTAAATAAAATGTATATTGCAACTATGTTTAAATAAATGAATGTTTTTATACCTGACTATAGCACCAGACAAACATTATTTTAGATCATAATGATCTGCATAACTCAAAATAGTCAAAATCCACATTATTTAAGTTGTTCTAGTATTGTTTTAGCATAACGATGTTAACTCCAATAATAAATATTCACATTTTTTTTGGGACGTTTTTTAAGGAAATTAAAAAAAAACATGAATAATGTGATATTCTTGTTTACTTTTGTACTATATAATATAGTTCATTAGGTAGTGATTTAGAAGCAAATTATGTTCTATTTATAGAATAAAAAATCACTCATATATAAATATTTATACCTATTTATATTTTGGACAGGAAGACTATTTTATGTTTTTGGCTCTGAATACTTTTCTTAAGAATTTTAAAACCTTCCTTAGCTCTTTTGGGATATTCCATGCATATCTTAGAAGTTCATTTTGTTTAAACCTAAAACAAATTAAGTACAAAAAATGAACATTTAAACAATACACAAAATTAGTCTTTTAGATTAGTTAAAAAAAAGTGTCAACAAAAAAATAGCTATGCCTTTTTCCTTAAACATTCTTTTTGAAAGAAACTTAAGTTTCTCTACTTACGTGCTGTTTTAGTATTTTAGTAGCAGATGAATATAGTGTAGAAGTAGTGACAGGATTGATTATTATACTTCTTTGGTCGAAATTGCATTTTTCTTTAATATTTTCCTTCCCTGAGATCTGTAATAAAAATGCATTAGCATAAAATGTTATTCAGGTGATCAATTGTTGAATTCCTATATTTTGGAACCATGTATTTCTTTCTCATATCAAGAAAAGGAAACCTAAAAAAAAATAACAATAAACTTTACAAAGATGTGATATTAAAATAATAATAAGTAATTAACCTTTACTATAATTATTAAGAGACGGATGAAGACGAACGTAGCTGGAGTGTACTTGCTCTTAATTTTAATTTTTCGATAAGAAAATAAAAATTTGATTGCAAATTAAAGGTGATTGCCTAATGCACCGCCTCTGATAATTAGGTTGTGTCTGTACTTACTTATGATATTATCTTGAAGAAGCATTTTCAACAGGCCTTTTACACATAAAGTATGTTTTCACTATTATTAGAGATAATAAATCTTAAATATACATTTACAACCTTTACAACGTTATAAATAATAATATTTTCCGTAAAATACAAATACGAAATTGACATGTGTCAGAAAGTGTCAGAACTGGCGCTCACAGAACACTTCTGGCGCTGTCAAACTTGGCAACGCTGATTAAATAAGCCAATTACAGAAGAGGTATTTTCCCCCTCGGGGGGAGTAGATATTGCTAACAAAATTTACCGCGGGGAAGGGGGGAAGACTCCCTCTAGTAGTATTTGCTCGGAGGTTATCACACTATTGATCGTTGATCATTGACTAGACAGTTTTAAGTAACAGCTGATTAGTCATGTCTGATCGTATTGCTTCATTGGTTGGTCGTTAAATCCCAACGACAACTTATTTTTAGTTGGCCCACAAGTAAATATAATATTGTTAATTATAGGGTTTTAATAAAACTGAATCTCATATCTTTACAATATATTTATTTTTATGCACATATATACGAAAAAGTTTTCATTTAATCCAATTCTCCACAACCACTAATAGCTATTAACTCAGCTGGACATTTCACTTCTTGGAAAGACACATCAGGATTACCGACACCTTCCATGAATTCGAATCTCCACCTGCAACCTGGTTGTAACACTTCTGGTAAAAGGTCGCACATCTCTATTTTCCATACGCCGTTAATACGGTCACCCCAGCCGTCTGGTCCGGTATTCCATTGGTGCATACAACCTAGATTGGAGAGTCCTACGCCACCACCGGGTATATGGAGATCAAAATGATTTTGTCTCAAATACATACCTAACGAAAATAGATAAAACACACTGTTAGTTTTAGGATAGTAATAGCAGCCATGTGTTGGACATTCGAGGTACTTCTGAGGTTGCAGGGAATTCATAAGACATAAATCCAAGACTATAAATCTTGATGGGAATAATATATAAAAAATAATTAAAATTATTTTCTTTTAGACTAAAAATCAAAAATTTTAAATTGAAGAAATTTTCACCTCTTATAAAAACCAAAGATTTCGACACAGTTTTTTATTAATTTTGAAAGTGTGATAAATAGCACAATAAAACCAAAAATAAACATAATCATTAAGGGAGAATCAAATATAGATTTTCTAAGGAACTCAGGCGATGTATATCAATTAAAATTAAATTCGAGAGACCCTAAAATGGTGGTTCCCACCTTATCGAGATTGAGGCCCACAAGGGTAAACTCGTAGCGTAACAAAAATGATTTAACTTGGAACGAAAACTCCGAAAGCCGATAGTACTATTGAGACGTTGAATTTTTTTGGTTTGTGAAGCATTGGTATTACTTAGGTCAAACCATGTGATGAATTTCACAAGCCTTGACTTTTAAAACCATTTTATATCGCCTTTTGATTAGGGTTTACAATTTTGTTCGAGCAATTTATCCAATAATATTTAGCCCCTTCACCTCTTAAGCCTGCTCATGTAAAATATTTGGGCTACTTACTTCATCTATTTATCTAAACATATTTGGTCTCTTTTAAATATGTACATGTAAAATTATATAATCCCTTTACTCCTTTAGATCTGTTCATGTAAAAATATTTGCACTTATTGTCGCTTAAACCTAGCTACGCATAAAAATTTAAAATGGTATCAAAAAAGCAATTTTTTTTTTATTTTGATAAATTTATTAATACCAATACTTTGGGAAGTGCATTTATCGTTCTGACAGTTTAAAAATAGTAGTGTTGGAAAACTACTAATGTATTTTTTTCATATTTCCTAAAAATTATCGGTAATTAAAAATGTTCGAGTTCTTTATGTCTTGGTTTTGGGAAAATTTAATAAAAAGCTAATCAGTTTTTGAGTTTTAGATTTTGATTTATCGATTGTTTAATTTTTCGATTTTTCAATTTTTTGATTTTTCGATTTTTCGATTTTTCGATTTTTCGATTTTTCGATTTTTCAATTTTTCGACTTTTCGATTTTTCGATTTTTCGATTTTTTGATTTTTCGATTTTTCGATTTTTGGATTTTTCAATTTTTCGATTTTTCGATTTTTCGATTTTTCGATTTTTCGATTTTTCGATTTTTCGATTTTTCGATTTTTCGATTTTTCGATTTTTCGATTTTTCGATTTTTCGATTTTTCGATTTTTCGATTTTTCGATTTTTGGACTTTTCGATTTTTTGATTTTTCGATTTTTCGATTTTTTGATTTTTCGATTTTTCGATTTTTCGATTTTTCGATTATTCGATTTTTCGATTTTTCGATTTTTCGATTTTTCGATTTTTCGATTTTTCAATTTTAATCTCGAATGAAAATAGCCCCCAAAATGGCTATGTTGTAACTATAAAGGTTGCAACCCCATTAGAAATCTCACGGAGTCTAAAAATTCTAAAAAATACTAAAAAAATACAAAAAAATACTAAAATAATACTAAAAAATACTAAAAAATCCTAAAGATACTAAAAAATACTAAAAAATACTAAAAAATACTAAAAAATACTAAAAAATACTAAAAAATACTAAAAAATACTAAAAAATACTAAAAAATACTAAAAAATACTAAAAAATACTAAAAAATACTAAAAAATACTAAAAAATACTAAAAAATACTAAAAAATACTAAAAAATACTAAAAAATACTAAAAAATACTAAAAAATACTAAAAAATACTAAAAAATACTAAAAAATACTAAAAAATACTAAAAAATACTAAAAAATACTAAAAAATACTAAAAAATACTAAAAAATACTAAAAAATACTAAAAAATACTAAAAAATACTAAAAAATACTAAAAAATACTAAAAAATACTAAAAAATACTAAAAAATACTAAAAAATACTAAAAAATACTAAAAAATACTAAAAAATACTAAAAAATACTAAAAAATACTAAAAAATACTAAAAAATACTAAAAAATACTAAAAAATACTAAAAAATACTAAAAAATACTAAAAAATACTAAAAAATACTAAAAAATACTAAAAAATACTAAAAAATACTAAAAAATACTAAAAAATACTAAAAAATACTTAAAAATACTAAAAAATACTAAAAAATACAAAAAATACTAAAAAATACTAAAAAATACTAAAAAATACTAAAAAATACTAAAAAATACTAAAAAATACTAAAAAATACTAAAAAATACTAAAAAAATACTAAAAAATACTAAAAAATACTAAAAAATACTAAAAAATACTAAAAAATACTAAAAAATACTAAAAAATACTAAAAAATACTAAAAAATACAAAAAATACTAAAAAATACTAAAAAATACTAAAAAATACTAAAAAATACTAAAAAATACTAAAAAATACTAAAAAAATACTAAAAAATACTAAAAAATACTAAAAAATACTAAAAAATAATAAAAAATACTAAAAAATACTAAAAAATAGTAAAAAATACTAAAAAATTCTAAAAAATACTAAAAAAATACTAAAAAAATACTAAAAAAATACTAAAAAATACTAAAACATTAAAAAATATTAAAAAATATTAAAAAATATTAAAAAATATTAAAAAATATTAAAAAATATTAAAAAATATTAAAAAATATTAAAAAATATTAAAAAATATTAAAAAATATTAAAAAATATTAAAAAATATTAAAAAATATTAAAAAATATTAAAAAATATTAAAAAATATTAAAAAATATTAAAAAATATTAAAAAATATTAAAAAATATTAAAAAATATTAAAAAATATTAAAAAATATTAAAAAATATTAAAAAATATTAAAAAATATTAAAAAATATTAAAAAATATTAAAAAATATTAAAAAATATTAAAAAATATTAAAAAATATTAAAAAATATTAAAAAATATTAAAAAATATTAAAAAATATTAAAAAATATTAAAAAATATTAAAAAATATTAAAAAATATTAAAAAATATTAAAAAATATTAAAAAATATTAAAAAATATTAAAAAATATTAAAAAATATTAAAAAATATTAAAAAATATTAAAAAATATTAAAAAATATTAAAAAATATTAAAAAATATTAAAAAATATTAAAAAATATTAAAAAATATTAAAAAATATTAAAAAATATTAAAAAATATTAAAAAATATTAAAAAATATTAAAAAATATTAAAAATTATTAAAAAATATTAAAAAATATTAAAAAATATTAAAAAATAATAAAAAATATTAAAAAATATTAAAAAATATTAAAAAATATTAAAAAATATTAAAAATTAATAAAAAATATTAAAAAATATTAAAAAATATTAAAAAGTATTAAAAAAATACAAAAAAACTAAGAAAAACTAAAAAATACTAAACAATAACATAAAAAATTATAATAAAACTGAAACAATAAATTTAGCTAATATAGATACTTTTTCTTTTCCCTTCTGATAGGTTCTGGCATATTCCCCTCATCAAGCTTAGATCTAGCCACTGGCTTTTTTAATTAGGATTGGGCCCAGCTTGCTTCCCTTCTTTTAGTGGGTTCGTATAGCGACAATAAAACATAGATGGCTTATTTTGTCGCCGTTTGAATGCCCTACTCCTTTCCATACGTGTTATAGATATTATAATGGATGATAAAAATAAATTTTAAGTGGCATCAGATACTAAAAAAGGTGATTTCGAAAAAAAAAAAAATACAATGATAAGCTTTGGCTAAAACGAGTCGGCATGATGTCATACTAACTATGGTGATCACAACCTGCATGTGAAGATGAAGGAAGAAGTGGTTGAGAGCCCAACCTAGTGCCGAATTCTAACACTACCCGTCTTATAGAAAGGAGATATCGGTGAACAGGAGTTTCCTCACCCAGACAAAACAAAAATAAATCGACATACCTGTGTCTTGGTTTTGAACTAACATTTGTTTTCCAGCCAATTGGCCCTTGAAGGAAAGTAGGAAACAGGAGCAGCATTTGCTGGTATCTAACCCTCCGGAGAATGAAGCCGCAGCAAAACCATAAGACAAAGTAGCGTTTTTGAGGTAAGGCTGCTGATTGTTGCAAGTAAAAGCAACACCTCCTTCTACGCACCCAGATTGAGCATTGTCAGCTACGGTGCTGTTGGTGACACCGTCCGTTTTGCACGTTTGAACCGGAATTCCATTTTTGGTTTTAATAGCTCCGTACCATGCGCAAGCTGGTGCGCAACAGTCCCAATAACGAGTGGTTACACCATCACCGCTTAGGCCGTTAACAATTGGGATTATGTCTGGGGATGTGTCTGAAATAGACTGCGAACTGGCTGAAATTAAATATAAATTATTATACTTAAAAAAATATATATGTAAATGTACATTACCGTAGCCTAAAATGAAAATTAAAACAATTGATTTCATCTTAATCGATTCTGATTTCAAACAGATACCTTATTTTTTGGTTCCTATTTAAATAGCAAAAAAATGTATTATCTAATTGTCTAAAAATAGGTATTTATCTTTCGAATTATTGTTGCGATGTACTTGTTTAAAATTTGTAGAATTTAAATATAATATAAATTACCTAATACGCTCATAAAATACTGTATATTTTTTTAACCTTAAATTAATAATTGTATTGACGAGTTATATATTTTTAATAGATTATCCATATCTCAAAATTCTGATCAACGTATTATGATACCGTGTGTTAGATAAGAAAAATAAAATTTGACAAATATGAAAACTATTTTATTTCTATGTTATTTCAATTTTCATGCATTAATACGCGTTAATTCTGCCATCCTCAGCCCAGAAGAACGATGAAGAAACATAACACTATAAAAAAGAATATCAAAATAAGTATTTTAAAACTGATATAGCTTTTTTAAAAACAATTTTATTAATTAAAATTACATACGTCTTTACATGACAAAGGCTAGACAAGATCGAATCTAATAAACTAGAAAATTAATGTTAAAGATTAAAATAACAAGCTAAGCATTGAAATTTATTATGATAGATAAGGAGTCCGAATGTCAGCTGTATACGCTCACGTAACTCCTCTCTATCCCTAAGACGCAAAAATAAAGGAGTTATTTTTGCAGTCCGAATTTTCTGGAATATCCTCCATATTGAGGGTTTCTTTATCTTTCGTTTTTGAATTTTGGCATCTTCTTCTTATAAAAATGAATAAAAATACCATTATACATAAAATTATTAACGTTGAAAATATTGCTAATATTGGAATTTGGTAAGAGTCCTTTGGTTCATCTATTGGCGATTCTATTGATTTCATATAGTTTGTCGAAATTTATGTTCTAATACCGTAAAATGGGGTGACTTGAAACAATTTTGACTTATTTAGAGCTGTAAATTAAGGATTTTAAGAAATTAGGCAATAAAAAAAATTGTCAGCTAAACTTTGGATCATAAAGAACAAATTTGAGACATTGCTAGAAGGGTTACCCCCACCACAAATTATAAAAAAAATAAATAAGCGTTGTTTCAAGTCATCCTAAAGTTGAAACACTTGAAACATTCAGATATTTCGATTATAGTTTCAATTCTGCTAGACTTGGGATGACTTGAAAGAATAAAATAAATAGTTTAAACACTTCCAAATTGCTACCAAAATCCACAATATTTTTAAAGAAAGTTGTACAACTTAAAAATCTTTATTCAATTAACAGAACATAACAAAAAAAACTAAACTTATTTTCTTCTTATAATAAAAATTTTATGACTTACAAAATACAGAAACAAAATACAGAACAAAAAACTAAACTTATTTTCTTATAAAAGCTTTATGACTAACAAAATACAGAACAAAAAACTAAACTTATTTTCTTATAATAATAAAAGTTTTATGGCTTAAAAGATAGAACCCTAATGCGTAAACTTCCTCTTCTGAGTGTCTCTACAGATTTTAACACTTCTTTAATTTCCTCTTGTAAGACAATTCCGATATCTTCAATTGCCGGAAAAATGAATATATCGTGACTTTTTTGAGAATGTCTAAGAAATTTGCAAACCTAGGAACCAGATTCTTCCGATAAAATTTTGGCCACATAATTTTTACCGGTGCCCTTTGATTGTCTTTAATGTTACAGCCACATATTCTCCAACTAGAGGAATTGTTCTTGTTCCAAAATTTTCCTCGCCATTTTCGTTTTCATTATTGTTAATAATTTCTGAAAGAACACTTTGTTCGCCACCAGAAATTTCTTCTGTATCTTGTTCTTCTTCCGGGAGCGTATAATCGTTTTTCTTTTGTGTATCTTGCTTGGCCCTTTCCTTTCCAACTGTCTTTCTTTTCTTAACCTTTGGTTTCGGAACATTCTCCTTTTCTTTTTCCTTTAGTTGGTCGTAGAAAATACTGTCACCTGGTGCAACTGTCAATTTTTTCTTTTTTCCCGAAGTAGATGGTTCCTGAGGATTTCCGTAACGTGCATTTTGAAAAATCTCGGACATCAATATCACAATGTTGGTTTCAACAGCTTGTTGTTCTATATTTTTCTTTTCTTTCGGAAGCCTTTTAAGAATCTTATCTCTATCCAAAGGAACTAGGCCAGTAGCCATGAAGCCACCTTCTATATTTTTCTCATTGGCTTCCGTATTCTGTAGAGCTTGATTCAACAGCCTAGGAAATACGTCTTTTCTTACAACACCCTTGTTATGCCTCTTCCATGCTTAAAGAGCTTTTCGCCACTGTTGTTTTATGGGCCTAAACACGCACAGATCTAACGGTTGAGTTACGTGTGTGCTATTGGGTGGCAGTAAAATAAATCTGATGTTATTCGATTCACATAGTTGTATGACGTTTAGTGATAGGTGTGAAGCTAAATTCTCTCCAATAATTACTTTGGGTCCTGGTGGCAATGTCTTGAAATATGGAAGAGCGGTAATTACGAACGAGTCTTCAAATAAGTGCATATCGAACCAGCCTGATGAACTCCTGTTGTATCGAGCTTTTTCTGGACCTCTCTCAGTCCATGTGGTCCATAGATGGTCTGCTTTATAAACAACGTAGACAGGCAACATTCTGCGCTTTAAAACATGAATTATGTGAAGTACGTAGTCTACAGAAAGCATTAATACAATATATTATCAATTCCCATAACTATTAATATTTTTGCTACCGAATAAAAGTTGGCGCTGCAATTTGTTTCATTTCACCCCATTTTACGTTATTTGAAATTTGATAATTTCTTCGAATTTTAAAAAGTTCAATTTTGAGTTTTGGTAGAATAAGCGTTTTTCCCTTTCGAATTTCTTGTTTATTTGAAAATATAAAATCTCTTGACGTGATTTTACAGCCTTCTGGAATGCGAATAAGGGTTGGATTCTAAATTTTGAAAATTTGGTTACTTCTACAATACGACTTAGTTTTCTAATTCTAAAAATAACAAAAAATAAGGCACCTTGGCTTGCAGACACAATAAAAATAATGATTAAATATAAAAACAGGGCATTAGAGAGATTCAATAAAACAAAAGTTCCTAATCATTGGGAGTATTACAAAACTCTAAAAAATCAAGTTAATTACGCAATTAAGAGAGAGAAAAAAGCATTCCTGGAATTTAAGTTAAGACAAAAAAGTAACATATGGAAAGAATTAAATAATCTGAACATAACAAAAAATAAAAAATCTACTATTCCCAATGAACTAAAAAATCCTGAAATAATAAATAATTATTTAATTCACGGTATTGGTGGCCTAGATAACCCAGACATTCACATTTTAAATCATTATGAGTCTCATGTCCAAGAGAATCTGCAAGATTTTAAGTTTACCGAAGTTAATGAATTAAAAGTATATGAAAAATTACTCTCCATTAAATCCCATGCTACTGGTCCGGATGAAATAAATATTGTAATGCTGTTACATACTTGCCCTACAATTCTACCCTACGTGACACATATAGTCAATCATTGTATCAATAATTCCACCTTCCCATCCTTATGGAAACAATCAAAAGTATTGCCGCTTCCCAAAAAACAGAACCCAACTGAATATTCTGATCTGGCCAATTAGTATACTTTGTACTCTGTCAAAGGCTTTTATGAAAATTTTAGACGAACAAATTCGCTTTCATATTTCACAATTTGATCTTCTACCTAAACATCAATCGGGCTTCCGTCCAAAATACAGTTGCACTACAGCGTTACTTAAAGTATTAGACGATATTTACTCGTATATAGATGCTAAAAAATTATATATACTAATTCTCTTAGATTACTTAAAAGCTTTTGACAAAATAAATCACTCTTTACTGTTAGCTTTATGTCATTTTATGGGATTTAACACAGCCTCAGTAAATTTTTTGAGCTCTTACCTAAATGAAAGATATCAAAGAGTTCAAATAGAAGAAAAAACATCCAATTTAATACATATTACACGTGGAGTACCGCAGGGATCTATTTTAGGTCCTCTCTTATTTTCAATTTATACCTCTCAATTTTTTAAATATCTAAAACACATGAATTCTCATTTCTACGCTGATGACACTCAACTCTACCTTGACTTTAAAGAATCCGAATCGAATGGCGCTATCACAAAAATCAACGAAGATCTGCAAACTATCTCGGAGATATCTAACAAATTTTGCTTAACAATTAACGCTACAAAATCCAAAGCTATGCTTTTCGGCCGCAAACAAGTTAAAAATAGAATTAAAAATATTCTAAGGGTAAGTATTAACAATGAATTTTTAACATTCTCAGTTTGTAAGAAAAATCTGGGCATATACATTGATGAAGATTTATCCTTTGCGCAACATATCTCTTCTATAATAAAAAAATCTTTCTGTAATCTAAAGTTAATTTATTCTAATCGGGAATTTCTCAACAGAAATACCAAAAAGTTGCTTTGCGAAAGCTTAGTGCTGTCTCAGTTTAATTACGGTGACATTGTATATGGGCCTGCACTTACACAATTTCATAAAAACCGTTTACAACGAACTCAAAATGCGTGTGTTAGATTTATTTGCGGGGTTCGTCGTCGTACCCGTACATCTCAACATCTGGCTAGTTTGGGATGGCTTAATCTAAATATTAGGAGATTGTTACATGCCTATGTCCTGATCCATAAATTATTGTTATCAAAAAAACCTGATTATTTGTATGAAAAAATAAAAAGGAGATCTGAAGTCCATAATGTTAATGTAAGATTTAAAAATTTCCTAACACTTCCGAAACACACTACAAACTTATTCCGATCTTGCTTTTCGTATTTCACAGCCAAATTATTTAACCTTGCCCCTAAAATATTTAATATCACATCACTCTCAAGTTTTAGAAAAGTAGTCAAAAACCTTTTATTTAACGGGAGATATCACTTACAATTTTTAATTTATATTGTTAATTAAATTTAGTTTAACAATAATATTTCATGTTATTTCTATTTTTTACTCGTCACTATTGATTAATAACTACAATAACAACACAGATCTAGGATTTATAAAATTTGACCTTTGTTTTTATTATTTCTAAGTTTCTATATTAATTGTTTGTTTGCTTTCTTATTGAAAGCTAGAATTTCACTTTTTTTTCATAGAAAATCTGTATGCATTA